TTTAGCCCGAAGGTCATGGCCTAGGAACCTCAAACTTCGACTTAAGTGAGTTCATGTGCAGATCAACGCACTCTGTACATTTGGTGGCTCTATCTTACTTAGTTCTTGAGATTTCAGGCGGGTCAAATTGACCCCCAACCGAGCGGAGCGTATCCGACCGGCCCCCGGGCGCGTGTCAAGTTATTAACAAATTGCAATACGATATACTTGTTGGGGCACGGCGAAAGACGCCCACCAGGCAACACATGTCGCTCCAGTCTCGGAGCATGCCTAGGGTATGGTGGTCAGTTTGATGACGGCTAAGATGAGCTCGAAGCACATACGTGTGTTCATAACGGGCATGGTCAAGGATGCCTGTATAGTAGACGCCATCTCTAGTGCTGCCTGCCATCGGTTAAAACTCTGCCGTGTATTCTGCTGTTTTGGCTATCAGGATCCTTCGCTGTGTCTTTTTCGCGGTCGGGTAAAGCAAAGCCAGCCGGAGATCGAGTTTAATCGTGAGGCCCCGGCAAGTCCCGAGGGTGGGGAAGACCGTTGTTGTGATTTGGCTATTCCATAGTCTAGGGCGGGTGCATCTGCTCTCCTAGCACCAGAAGTTATCCTGACATAAGTCGGACAACGTAAAATGGAGTGTTTTGGTTGTGTGCATGATGTTGAAAATTGTGGTGATAAAAGATGCTTTCGGCGATATGCTGATTCCTGATGACGCTACTGGGCGTGGATTCCCATTTCATGTCATATGGCAGCGCATGACGCTGCTGGCGACAATTTTGTCTCCAGAAATTCGGGCAGCGACAAAAAGCACACTTTTACCGCCCCTGCGGACTGGATCCTGAAGTGCTACAGTCGGGTGTGAGCATTCTATCTTATCACTAGATGTGGTGCAGTATACAGACGCGGTTTATGTGATCACAAGCGCAGCTGTGCAAGCTAGACGGTTGCACAAACCACGCCAGCTGCCGTCGGGTCAGATTTTATGTAATTTCTTCAGATGCCGACATGGTTTAAAACAAAAAATGAAAGATATTGAATGATGGGACAATAAACAGAACATTTTTGAGCTGAACATTTGACATTCCAAACAAAAACAATGTTTGTTTGTTGCCGCTCCCCGATTTTTCACTTTTTGGGGATGGGACCATAGCGACCATCGAGCATATTTCTGGTAAGCACATTCATGAATCCATGAACCTGGTGCTCGCCGTCCCTGCCCCGGAGCGAGGCAGGCGACGACGACAAAGTTTCAGAACCCGAGTTTGAAGTTAGCCCCAATGTCATTTAATCTGTGAATGTAATGGCCGAGTGGTTAGCGCCTTCAGATCTCACGTCGGGACCCAGGTTCGAAGCCGGGTTGCGCTACGGCCCCTGAGCGCTAATATGATGACCGCAATCGCGGGCGTCCATGAATGGGTTCGTAACGACGTGCGCTGTGATTTCCTTTATTTCTAAGAATCGATGGAAATATCGCATTTCTATTTTATAATTCTGCTGGGGGCTTGAGTTGAGCACGATGCACTTAGTTTGCGCCTGAGGCTGAGTCCAAGTCGACCACCCGTTCAGTCGGCAACCTGAGTTAGGGTACGTGTCATCTGTAAAGCGAGCAACGTGAAGCCCGAGTTCCGAAAGGTCATGTGTGTGGACTTAATTTCGAGTCCGGTTCTAATCGGACCCGTTCTGCGGGGTTAGAGAGGCTGCGGCCCGGCGCTCACCCGTCGAGGAAAGCTGTTCACTGAAGGTCAGCAGCGCTGGGCAGGCCTTGACTTTGTCCGGATGCGCCGGGAGCCGGCCGGCGCGGACGGGACTCCGTCAGATGCCGCCCCGCACCGGATTAGTGAACACCAGTGAAAGTGACCTTTGATTGGCCAAACCGAGCCAGTTGGACACAAATCGATGAGCTCAGGGTTTGCTTTTTGGTTCTGATCTTACTTTGGTGTTCCACGGTTTCCTGGAGCCATTTGAAGTTACGTCCATGGTAGCATTGCTACAATGTAGTCAGGATGAAGGGCACCCTTCAGATAGCCTTACTTTTTCTTCTTGCACGAAATATGGTGTAATAATTCCAACGCAATGAGGTCAGATCGAGAACGCTGCGCGATTTAGCGTAGAGTACCGTTTCACTATCCAAGAAGCTCACAAAGCTCATATCTAACCCAAAAACATAGGAAAGCAGGAATGACTCTTCTGGGTAACTTGCAATAACGGCAGCTGAGCCCAATAACTGAACGCCGTTCGCACGAAGGATGCATCTCCGCTTAGCTTTCTGGTAGCCGGCATGCTTGATGTCCCTAATCTGATGCAAGTGCCTTTTTTTTGTTAATTCACAAATCTTCAGACGCGGGCACATGAAGGCGCGGCTCGTGGACGTCGCGCGGCGACTGGTTCTCACTTGTGAACGCCCCACGATGGCTGGTTCTCACTTGTGGACGCCCCACGGTGGCTGGTTCTCACTTGTGGACGCCCCACGGTGGCTGGTTTTCACTGAGATAGGACGGTTGCTTCCTGTGCCTGGTGCACATTAATGGCTCGTTCCCGCCCTGGCGTGCAGGTACCACTCGATACACTGATTGCGTGTCGGTATTTGGCTCTGAGAGTGGCAAGATTTCCGTCTTTTCAGGGTTTTATCTGGATTAGTCATCCAAAAATGTCATGTCCTTAATCCTCGCTGGAACGCCGCATAATTCGTATCACTACGCGGTCCGTGAGCCTTTCCTGTAAAGGTAAGACACGCATGCTGCGGACGCGGCATCATGCCAGCAATACGGATGGGTGTAGTTAAACGTGTAACGTATGGCCTGCCTTCTATTGACAGCTCGACGCCCCTTGCCTATCTTTATTTTAAGTTGTTAGAGGTGCAGCTTCCGCATGGACACTGATGACTATCCAAGTAGGGATGGAGAATGCTGTCAAGGACTTGGCTGGCTTGTGCAGGCTCGCTGCGTTTCGCCCGCTGAGCCCACTGGCGGTCGCACGAATCGGCTACAACTGCCACCAATCCTATTTGACGGCTTGGACACCACAAAAAGAATCAAATCAACACCCATGTAAAACGTGGAGTAAAGCTTCCATTTCTGTAGCAATAAAAGGATATTTTCTAAAGTTTTCACATCTGGGGCCTGTCCGTAAACCTAAGTCGTCATTTCAGACACATATCGGGTCGACGCACTCGGGAAGTAACACGACGCTTAGTCTGTTGCACACGGTCGTCTTATTACACTTCTGCCCCACTCAAACATGCTGCTCCACAGTTGCTTTCATACACCCACGTTGAATATGTGCCTGGTTGTTCCGGACCACATGACAATAATTTAAGTGCAACAAGGCGTCATTTGGCAGTCACTCCCCCTGCCGGCGCCAATCGTTGTCGGACAATTACCCCAGCCAAATCAGAGACGCTCCTCGGGTACCGGAGCCGTCTAGAAGTCGAACTTCTTCTCCGGCTCGGAGTAGTCGTAGCCGCAAGGTGCCTTCACCGTTTTCGTCTCGTAGCTGGTCTCCACCACGGACTTCACGACCACTTTCGTCTGGGTGGAGGTCCTGTCCACGATGGACGTGCTCAGCTGGGTCTTGGTGGCACCAGGCAGCTGCTGCGTGGCCGTCACCAGCTGGACGGACGTCTGCACCACCGTCTTTCCTGGCTCGCTCTTCGTCTGCGTCACAGCCACCGTCTCGTAGCCGGTGCTGGTGACGACCTGCGTCACCAAGCTCTGCTGGGTTTGCGTGACCGTCACCTGCACGTTCTTCGTGTCGCTGACCACCCGCTGCTGCACCGACGTCACGGTGGACGTCTGCGTGACCGTCTTGATCTGGACCTGGGTGGAGACGATGGTGCTTCTCACCGTCTGCGTGACCTCCTCGCGGTTCGTCTTGATTACGGTCTGAGTGGTGGTGATGACCTGGGTCTTGTCCGGCTGCTGCACGGCAGTCTCCTTCGTCTCGGTCTGCGAACGCGAGCGACCGGTCAGGCCCCGGAGACCGGGGCTGCATCCCGCCGTGGCCAGACGAGAGCGCTAGCTGCCTACAGGGCGCCGTTCGCACAGAGCTGCGAAGTAAGGTGGTCGCTGCACCGGGCCCATGACGTGGGTTAAAGCGCACACATGCCAACAAAATATTTCCAATTCAACTGTATGCGCATCTAAGGGGTGATCGGCCCGGCTGCGGCTCGCCTACGTGCCCTCACCTGCTCTGTATGCGGCTTCATCGGAGCAGTGCTAATCTCAATGGAGTGCAAACAATATTCATCAACAGCTTACAAACGTCAGCATCTGAATATTGCCGAAAAGCGCATGCTGAAAACGACCCAAATCCCTGTGCCCTGAAGTGAATGAGGGCAAAGTTTCAAAGGAAGCCTGCGAAAGCCTGCCTGAGAGCACTGACCTTGGTCTGAGTGATGGTGTTGACGACCGTCGGACCAGGCACCACCTTGGTGGACGTGATTATCCGCGTGAGAGTGTTTGTCCTGATCGAGACCTGGTCAGGGAGGCTGCTGGTCACGACGTTGGTCTTGACGACGGTGTTGGTGCGTGTGACGGTCGCCTGATCGGTGATGGTGCGCGTCACTGTCTGCACCACAGTGGAAGTCAGCACCTTCGTGGCCGTGATCGTGCGGGTCACGTAGTTGGTGGTCACCACCTCCGTTGTGCTCGAAATCGTCTGCACCTGCGTCACGGCATCGCCAACCTGGGTCTTGATGAGCTGCCTCGTCTGGGCCTCCGTGACTGTGCTGATGCTCGTCTTGGTCACGGGCACCGTCTCGGTCACCACGACCGTGCGCGTCACCAGCTGCGGCACCACCTTGGTCTCGGTCTTGTAGCTGGTGATAGCCTTCGGCTGGATCAGGGTGCTGATCTTCTCATACTTTGAGGTTTTGGTCACGTACGCGACTGAGGTGACGTCGACCACTGCTTTGCAGGGCGGCAGGTAGTCACTGCCGGGGGTACTGAGGCGCCGCGTAACAAGCGGCCAGCAGGCCGGCCAGCAGGATCAGGCGACTCATTCTGAAACGGCGCAGCCCGGTCACCTTTCGGCGCCAGTGGCCGCTCCAAGACTAACACGCTGGCCATCACACGATGTCAGGTTCCGACAATGCGCGCTTAAAGCTGAGGGAGAGGGGCTCGAACGTGAAGAAGCTTTGGTGGGATAGCCAATGGGTTTGACAGCGATGTTAGCTTTGTGACCTTTGAGCGGGTTTCGCTTGCCTGAATTTGTTCTAGTGGATGGTTTAGTGTTCAAGAGTGGGGAACGGTGAGGCGCGCACAGAGACAGAGACATCAAGAAACTCAGCACCACCCCCAACTGCCAGGATAACAGCGCACGCGTAAGCATGACACACAGGAGCGGTCAAAATCCCGTCCTATGTCAATCAAGAACAAGTGCAGATAACACACACGAATGAAACAGGCGTATTGTTGGCGCGGCTGAAAATTTGTCGCCTCTTGTTCTCACGCTTACCTGAGTCCATCCACTTCGCAGGTGGCACCCCCGCAGTCCAGTAAATTTGCCGGTGATTTCGTATAGCATATGGTCTTTCGGTTCCCTTAGATTTATTAATTTCCAGAGCATGAAATTGCGGCGGAACGGCCACAGCGCATGACAAAATGGTCATGTGGTCACAACAGGCACATATTCAACGTGGGCAGCAATCGTTCAGCACACTCATAACTTATACCCTCTCATCGCTCGGCGCTCGTGCGGCGCTGTCTCGGTCTTGATGAAGGCCGGCGTCCGTGGCGTCTAGATCAGCAGCGGGTTCTCCGGAGTGTCGTAGTTGTAGCCCTTGCACGACTCCGTAACCGTGGTCACCTTGACGACCTTCGACGGCTGAATCTTGGTGGAGGTGACGACCTCCACACCGGTCTGGTACACGGTCGTCGTCTGAGTGAGGGTCACGTCCGGGCCGGGCACGCGCAAGGTGGTCGTCTGCGTCTGGGAGAGGACGCGGACCACGTCCTTGCCCGTGACTGTGTTGATGACGGTCCGCGTCTGGGTGACCACCACCGGCTTGGTGGAGATCTTCGTCTGAGTTTGCGTCACGTACTCTGGTACCGTCTGCGTAACGGTGACGACAACGGTAGAGACCTTCGTGCTGACCACGGTGCGCGTGGCGTATGCCGGCTGCGTCTGGGTGATGACCTGCGGCACGGTGACCAGATCCGTCTTGGTCGCAGGTGTCTGTGATGGTGATGGCCCTAGTGTTGACGGCGGTCTTGATCTGAGTAATGGTCTTACCAGGCAGTGTCTCCGTCAGCGTGACAGTGATGTACTGCACCTTGGTGTCAATCTTGGTCACGGCGGGCAGCTGCGAGGATGCCACCTTGGTCTGCACCAGCTCGCTGGTCTTGATCTGCTCCACCGTCTTGCCAGGCACGACCAACGTGCTGGTGGAGTAAATCAGCTTCTCCACATTCTTGGTACCCGTGTTGGTGACCTTCTTGGTCGCGGTCTCCTGTTTCGAGACCACCTTTGTCTGCGTCACCTCCAGCGTCTTGAGCTGCTCCTTGTTGAGCACGCTGACTTCGCTCACCACCTTGGTCCTCGTCACGGTGATCGTCGGGCCCGGCTGGCTGACAGTCTTGGTCACGGTCAGCTGGATGGCGCGCGACACAACGCTCGACTCAATGACCTGCTTGGTCTCGCTCGCGGTGTTGGTGACGCTGATGGTGCTGGGCACGACGCTCGTGACGGTTGACGTCAGCAGCACCTGCTGCGTGACCACCGACGTCAGCACGCGGGTGACGGTGTTTGTGACCACCTTTGTCTCGGTGTTGAAGATGGTTTTGGGCTCGGGACACGCGGGAGGCAGGTAGGCGCCGGGCACCTCAAGCTGGCCCGCCGCCAGAGCCACCAGGACGGTGGAGGCCAGAATACGCCACATTCTGGAACAGAGGAGTTACATGGGCGGAGTCAGTGATTGGACCTTATGGCTGTGACTCACGCTAAGCAACGCGTTGGGCGATGGGCAGCAAAGTCCAATCACTTCTCACACCGGCATGTAACTCGCTCTGTCCCAGATGCGGGCGGACGTAGGCTTATCAGCTCGCCAGGCGTGAGAAGGTGGATGGACTTTATCGCCCACAGCGACTTCCACAGGCACGATGTGATGAACAGGAGTGTGGGTGGCCAAGCTCCCGCAAAGTTGTAAATCCTTATACTTGCTCCGTCAGCCATGTGACAGAGAATTTACGTGACCAATCTTATAATTTCTTTCGCTTGTCGTTTGGTGGGCGTTCCACACATGCAGGCCTCTAACACCTGCATAAGTTTCGTGCTGGACGGCGACGGGTGAACCAGGCCGCCCCGATGCACAGTTGGTAGTGTGGGTAACTCAGGTACCTTCGCTCTCCTTCCCCTCTCTTAAAAAATTGGGTACCTCCCAAACGAGCATGCTTCAGCCAACAGCATTTTCTTGTCCTATTTTAGGTCGAGGGTGCGTAAGTCGTTCTGTGGGTACCAGGGCACCCACAGAACGACGAACCCTGACGACTTCAATCTGTAGACAAGTAACTGCACAACTGTAACTGTAACTGTAACTGCACAACTCTCCTCGGGCGCTTCTACTCCTCCAACTACAAATGCGTTCTGCAACCTGGTACAGTGTTTGAACTCGTTTAAACCACTAGCCAGGCCAGCGGGAGAGAGACGGTAGTCATGCAACATCCAGGGGCAGTGCCCATGCACTCACCACTGCCCCTGTAACATCCATGGGTAGTGGTGAGTGCAGAGCGGTCACACTGCCCACCACAGAACAACAGAAAAGAATGTTGAAAAAAGAACGCAGCTATTCGACACCAATACGGTTTTCATGACGGTCTAGGTTGATTAAGTGCCTTAAAAATATTTTGGAGTGAGCCACGGAATATGTGATTTGATACACATACATCTATTTGATGTGCATAGTTAAGGCCATATACATACAGATACATATATAATTATAAATGTATATGGCCTTAACCATCTAATGTATCATATAATAATGTTGTGAATACATGGGAAAATAATCAACGTACTGCAAGTTTATGACGCAGGAAAGGCATTGTTCAACGAGAGTGGCTCGAACCAAATGTCTTTGAGAATGCGTAAACTGAATAATCACGGGCAGAAATTTGGAATGATAAATTACACGTCACGCAAATCATGAATATCTCAAAAGCGCCATTACAGACAAAAGATTCTCAGGGACTGCCACCTTCAGTTAACAAAAGCGCGATAATTTTTGATTTCATGTAAGCAAGAGAGACTTTAACCCGGTCTTTCGGCATTAAAAGTCACGAGCAAGATTGCATATACTGAAGTTTATCGGCAATTAACCTTCGATGAGGTGCTGCTTAAAGGATATACTCAAGCCAGCATTGATCACATTGGGAAAACTACACAACCAATACATGTGGAGTTTTCTTAATGTAAAGAACGCCTGCTTCATAAGGTCGTTTTATTACCACCTCCCGGCACATTGAGGGTACCCCATTATCAGCTCAGCTATTCGCAACTCATCATTGAATGAAATCAACGTTGCTTTATCATTCTTCGCTTCTAGCTCGGTTCTTCCTTCACACGGAATGCTTTCGCCTTGGAAGTCACTAATTCCACCACTTCCACTGACACCTTCACCGCCACAGCTGACGTTAAGTCTCAGACTTCACCAGCGCTACACCGACTTGCAGTTCAGACTGTGGGGGCACTCACCTAATGATTTTTGTCCGTTCCACTCGACGACGAGCAGAGCAGTTGGCAGCTACCCGAATGTGGTCACTGCAACCGGCCGCAGGCTTTATAGCTGTCCGGCGGCGGCGGCGGCGGCGGCCGGGGGACGTCCGAGGGGGCTGGGTCTCGGCCCTCCGACTCGCGAAGATCAGCCGTTGACCTTGCCGACGAAGAGAGAAAGTGTTGAGATTCCGCGGGCGAGCGCGGTAGGCCGGCGACAGCGTCATATCTGCCGTCGGGGCGGGAGCTCGCCGGACGTGCTCCTCTCGGCGCAGCCGGCCAGGGGGCACTTGGGCGCCGAGAAAGCTGGAGGAAAGCTGATCCTGGGGAAGGTCTGGACTGCTAAAGGCGATGCGGAAGCGTGTGAGGCCATGTCGACTGTCGGAAGGGGTCAAGCACACAATGTTGACGGATTTGGACTGATTGGCTCGTCAAAAAGTGTGCTATCGGATTTCAGCAACTTTTAGACCGGTTTCAGTTCATGGCCATGAACCCATCAATGATTGAGCTGACATGAAATTAACTTTGAAGGATTGCAGTTACTGAGCATAGAACAGCTCAAAAGCACCAGCTTTTCCTGGAGAACTTTAGGCTTAGTTAAAACAGAAAAGGATGGCGCAAATTCCACTGAACAAGGTACGTCAAACGTGCGAATGGATCTATCCACATCCAATGTCTCTGATCTGCTGGTCACTTTGGACCCCACATATCAGGACACGTTTGACCAGTTCGCATGCCTTGACCACCTCGAGGTCCCTGGTCCTTTACAGGCACGCTAATTCCGTGCGTCGATCTCTTGACTGTCTCGAGGCAGCGGGCTTGTTTCAAATATCTTGTAAATATTTAGAGGCCTGAGGATCTCCTTGGCTGACTCAAGGCCTGTGGAGAGTTTGGAATCCCCTTTTTATTTAGCATTCAGGGGCTGGGCTGATTAAGACAATTTAAGAGCTGACAATCGCGAACCCTAAGATTAGACAAAGTTCCAAAAAGCAACCAAACCGCTTTTTAAAGGCAGTTACTCCCACGCATCGCTAGTGTTTTATGTCTCAACCTCATGAAATGGTTTCGGCCATGGCGGCCTCACTTTACTCTCCTTTGCTTTTAAACCGGAGGCCAACAACCATTTTGGTGTCTTCATTGCATATTGCCCATTGCGCAGTGTTGTTTTGTCGGGCGTATCGGCTACAAAGACCATATCCTTTAACCCTGTTGCTGTGTCGGAATTTCCCTGAAAACTCAGGTCCCATGACCGCCTCAATGTTGCTTTTAATAATAAGAGGCGTGCAACCATGTAGGAGTGGAACTCAGTAAGAGCGCATTACGGTGCTTTTTGGCTTCTCATCAGGTGTCATTTATTTTTTAAAAAAAGCACATCCAAAGGGCATCTCCCAGGCTGAACATGTAACTGAAGATCTCTTCATAATCTTGAACCCTTTGATCATCTGATATTCCTTGTTTAGATTAGGGCCATTGCACTGAGGGTTGATTGCCAGCTTCGTTGACCCTTCACTAAGAAGTGAGCTTAGAAAGATTCGGTCGACTGAAATAAGTTTTGCGTTAAATAACTAGGCAGTTGTAAAATGTTCTACTGGTTCGTTCGGTACCTGTTGATAGTACCACTACCGATTGAGTCGGTAGTGGTACTATCGATTGTGACAACATTTTGGCCCATATCGTGGGGATTAAAAATGCACAGCAACTCGAACTTGTGTTGGTCAGTGCGCGTCTAGTTGAACTTAGACTTCGACAATCAAAGCATCCCACCCGTTATCAATTCTAACTTTTGAAAACTTTCATGTCGACTTAGATCCCTTTAGCAGTCCGGACTTTGACTACAATCTTTGAACACGGTCATCCCTGACCTATCCTTTTGGATTGGACTATTTCCGTTTAGCAGCAGCTTGCTCCTCTAAGGCGAATGCCTTATCGACTTTGATCCTCATTGGCAATCTTGGGATGTCCTTCTCGGGCCTATGCTGTATGAGTCATCCAGCCGTTGAATCGCCTAAGTCTAGGCTATGAGATCTCTTGCTTGAACTTTTCATTACAATTTGATGCTTTTGCGAACCATCGAATATATTGGGTCAATCGACTATATCGAAAGCCATGGCCATCCCAAGTCACCCGATATGATATCTGACCACTTGGTTGTCGGCAAACTTTCTTTGTTTCTTTGAACACCTTTGGCCCTTGGCCCCCTTACGACTGCCCGGATCCGCTTGGTCCTCCAGGCTCCCGGACCGTCTTGCATGCTCTTGACCATATAGCGGCCTGTGATCCCTTTTTGTCCTCCGGCATAGTATGGACTCTGGCTTGTGTCCAGGCCCACTGCACCTAGGCCTTTTGACTTTCCAGGTATCCCTTGATAACCAAAACCCCTTGGTCTGCCATTTCGGAGATTTGTTTACCATTTGGGATCGTCCCAAAGCCTACGAGCACCTAAATACGCCATCATCATATAAGATCCCCTACAGATCATGAGTCTTGGAGCCTTTTCATCATGCTGTGCATTTTGATTGCATTGGAGCTCCTTTGCCCGCAGAATTCGTCTGAGCTTTGTTTGACTTGAGGCGTTAAAGGGCTCGTGGCGACCAGCTCCCCTGATCAACAGAGACTACTGACCTCGCGGTCCCCTGGCCAATAGGGACTACTGACCTCGCGGTCCCCCGGCCAACAGAGACTACTGACCTCGCGGTCCCCCGGCCAACAGAGACTACTGACCTCGCGGTCCCCTGGCCAATAGGGACTATTGACCTCGCGGTCCCCCGGCCAACAGAGACTACTGACCTCGCGGTCCCCCGGCCAACAGAGACTACTGACCTCGCGGTCCCCTGGCCAATAGGGACTACTGATCTCGCGGTCCCCCGGCCAACAGAGACTACTGACCTCGCGGTCCCCTGGCCAATAGGGACTACTGACCTCGCGGTCCCCTGGCCAACAGAGACTACTGATCTCGCGGTCCCCCGGCCAACAGAGACTACTGACCTCGCGGTTCCCTGGCCAATAGAGACTACTGATCTCGCGGTCCCCTGGCCAACAGAGACTACTGACCTCGCGGTTCCCTGGCCAATAGGGACTACTGACCTCGCGGTCCCCCGGCCAACAGAGACTACTGACCTTGCGGTTCCCTGGCCAATAGAGACTACTGACCTCGCGGTCCCCTGGCCAACAGAGACTACTGATCTCGCGGTCACCCGGCCAACAGAAACTACTGACCCCGCGGTCCCCTGGCCAATAGGGACTAGGGGCTTCGGGGTGCCCTGACCATTTTGAGACTTTGTACTGATTCGGATTTCTCATTCTCTAGTAACCGCTGAATCGTTTCAGCACTCTTCAGCAGCCTGGGAATCCGGCCAACCTGGGCTCGTCGCCCGTCATGCTCTTTCATTTTATGGAGCTCCATTGGCATGTCTGGAGGATTTTGATTGTTTAAAAAAAACTCTTAGTAGTCTCCGAGCACCTGGGCAAACTTCGTGGCACGCGCGAGACGTCACGGATATCGGGGACTTCTGACCTAGTTTGTTACATTTTCTGTCTCAGATCCCCCAAGTATGTCTTGGGCCCTGATCCGCTTGCTGAGGACATTGTTTGGTCTACAATAGTTGAGGCATTCATCAGATATGATCAAACAAGCTCACTTATAACCATTGATATATGTTTTCAAAAAAGACAGCTTCAGAAAGGACAATTGTCTGTTTAGTAAATATGCTCCTCAATGCGCCGGGGTTTGATTACGTCGTCGTACCTTGCACAACCTTGTTTGACGGCCAGTTGACAGCTATTATATCTGGAAATCGCGTTCACGACCGCCAGATATGAACGCCTCGACAATATATCTTTTCTTCATCGCTGCATGGCTTATGAAATAGCAGGATTTGGGTGACGCTATTCTAACGCCATGAATGCCAAGGCGGCTGAAACACTCTCCCTGATATACCTTTCCTCATCTTCGCGGCCGTGTGACTCAGAAACTAGGGGGGCCAAGATCGTAAGAAGGTCAGGATTGTGAGCTACGACGAAAGGTATTTAAGAAGAATATTTCAATTCAAAGCCGAAACATGCCCTTTAATGGTGTGAGAGTGAAAAAGTTTGAAGCGGGGTATAATCTCTGCCTTCTTCGTCTAACCAGTGATTCCGCAGGTTCCGATTGCGAGCCTTTCAATTTGGTCTGCGTTACAGAGCACCCATCCGAGACACTCTAATAGGACTTTAAGTAGGGCTTAAGCATATTTTCGCCGCACCCAGCTCGGATCGTAGCCAGTCCAGCGTGCCTCAGACGGTCAAGGTATCCCACATAGTCAATGGACAGGAGCCGGACGGATGAAACAATGAGATTCGAATGCGCTGGTGTGGATGCTACGAACGTTAAGTGCGCTGCGGGAATACGCAAGTATCCGGGACCGATCATAAAATGGAGGTGACAGCCATTACCGAACACTCGTAGCTTTGCTGCAAGCCGCCTCACTTACATAAGATGGTGCAACAAAATCCAGGTGGAAATGAGGTGTTAGGTAGACGCCTGTCGCTTGCATAGAACATACTTCCAATCGATTTTACAGAAATAAGGATACGGGCTGCCTTTCCTTAAATTTGGGACCCTGAGAGGCGTTTGCATAGGTCTACTTGAGGAGCATTAGTTATGTCCTTAAATAGCACTGACCGATTTTTACCTGGTCCATTTTATTTGTGTCGACACACTTTTACCTTTTCGTTAAATTTATGCCAAAACAAGAGAAAAAATTAACGAAGGGACACTTCAGGTTGAATACGTGCATCTTTTCTTTGAAACTGCAGGGCATTTTTTGGTACAGTGAACTCAGCGTTCATCATATCCTGAAAAGGGGAATGTCCGTTTGCATGATGTACATTCTGCTTACAGGGGATATACTTTCTTTGTGCCTAACGTTTTCAACCGGGGTGGAGATTTCCCACAAGAGTGGATTGCAAGAAGGCTCCTGGGGGAGGTCTCGATGAAGCCAGATCATACCTGAGTTAAAAAAGAAACCGTCCAGGCAGCACCAACAGGCAGGCGCTGACTGAAAA